TGGTGACTTTTTGTACAAAATTAACAAAACATTGCTATGTCTTTCATCATCCTCATAATCACCAGCATGTTGAAGTTGAACATTTACCAAGTCATTTTACCAAAGGTTTCCCTCACCCTTTTGGGTCCTCGGCTTCATGAAACATGCTGTCCTCTTTCAGTAATGGACTCTTAGTCAAGAAACTGCTGAAATCTCTCCACTTGGGATAACCCTGTCATTTGAAACATGTGGCATAGCTTCAAGCATCGTAGCATCATGTAAGCCATCGAAGTACCGCAAGCTGGCGAATGGGTGGCGAAGAAGTAGAACGATTTTCATTAGGGACTTTTTAAAAGAGATGGAATCCCTAGAAATCTCCATAGCAGATTAATGGCATAAACCTTGGTAATTAAAAAGTAGGGACCTCCCTGCTGACTTCCATTGCTTTCCTCCTCCTTCGGAGAGGCAAAGGGAGCCGTGCATTTGAAAATCAGTGAATAATGTTCATTATAAATCTAGCTTTCCTAAGATAACGGAAAGATGGATCAATAGGCTTTTTGAAAGACATCAACTTTTATATTGAATTTTAAAGTACCTGGTTTTATTCAAACTTAATTATTTTTCCTATGAAAGCTGGAGCCAGTTGTCAGGTTGTGTTCCCCTGAACCAGGCTGAACCCTTGAGAAAGCCTTGTGAACCACGATTCCTGTGATAACAGCGACTCCCAGTGGATGCATCCGGAACTAAAAACACATCTTGCTTGGGAAGCTTTGCTCTAGCGTCCTATTTCCTGGGAGAAAACCGATACCTCTTTTTGAGAGGAGAGCTAAACAGAGCCTGGACAGGCGAGCATGGGCTCGAAGCTCAGGTCATGCACTCAGCTTACAACTGAAGGTCTACACGTAGCCTTTCGCAGAGAACGTTTAAGCGTCTCCAGAGGATCCAAGTAGTTAGATTATCTTTCTTCCAATTATTAATTCAAATTATATTCTTCCTTTTAATAATTCTGCATTTTAAAAGAGATTCCCCCTCCGCCTCCACTACTATTGAGGCTAATTCCTAAGTCAAAGGCTGGTTTGAAAAAACAAACATATTTGTGAAAATTATGTTTTCAATATTTTTAAACACCTATTATATTTATTTTTCCTAATGTTATTTGATATGCAAAAGTCAATATGAAAATGTTATGAAAAAAACTCTAGACAGTGTTTCTATATTTTAGAAGAAATGGGATTTTTCTAAAAAGAAAAAAACAGAAAAGGTTATATATTATTCTCTTAATTGCTTGGCTTCAATGACTAGTTGTCCTTTTAAGAAATCAAAGTCTTGTTTCCTTTTTCTTCATGATGATAATAAATTCAGAATGAACACTTAACTGTAATAGTCTTACAATGACTACTTGCTTTGCTGTACTTGTTCTAAGTATTTGTAAATATTAAAAGATAAGGCAAAAATTAGCATGAGTCCATCCTTGATTGAATTTCAGAAGATTATCACTTCCATAAATAATGGGAAATGATGCTAAAATTTTGTTAAACAGAACACACATCGTTTGACGTTATTAGTTCCTTCCACATCCCCACTGTTGTGTCTTTAAGTCTTCAGTTACCTTAAGTCCCTATTGACGACAGCTTACATATAGTTACTTGTATTAGTCTGGGTACTTTAGAGAAACAAATCCACAGCAACTCATATAAGAGAGTTTTTTGTGAAGAAAGTGTGCATCACGAAAACATCCCAACCCAATGCTGCCCAAGCCCACAAGTCCAACATTAACCCATTAACCCAACACCAGTCCACAAAGTCCTCCACCTCACAAAACAGAGGTAATGATGCCAACTGCAGGAGGAAAGCTGAGTCAGTGAACGAATAAGCATCTCAGCACTAGCAGGGGTCTCCACACGGCTGCTCCAGCACCCAGGGCTGCATCGGGATAGGTCCATGTGGCTTCTCCTTGGGGATGTCTTGTAGGAAGTCAATCTTGCAAGCTGAAGCAGGGAACTGCTAAGGCAGCTGCACCCGGTGCAACCATCACAAAACAAGAGACCCGAGAACTAGAATGGCGAGGATCACCACCCATTTATCCCTCCGCCTTTCAATTAGCCCCACATGTGACTATGGCCAGGTTGGCACAATTAACTAACTCGTTACTACTATACTTGGAAACAAAGAAGAAAGCTAACTTGATATCATGATATGCAGAACAATAGTAGAAAGACTACTTAGTAACCGAGGTTTGTTTTCTTTGCTGTATCCAAGCAAACATGCTGAGTCTACATAGTGATTTTTTTCTTAAACTGATATACATTATAAATCATACATTTATGTAGTGGTCATATAACAAACAAGTTATCTTTCAAAGGGATATGAGTACTGTTGTTTTCAATATCTAATAAAGAACGTTAGCTTTAAAGTTAAATTAAAAAATGAAATACATTTGTTTTTGGTGGAAGAGTGTGGTCTCCAGAATAGCAGCCAGAAATTCCTGTGTGTGCAAATAATGTCTCTGAACTCAAACGACACAGCTATCTCCTCTCAGCACATGTTTACTGAGCACCTATTAAGTGTCAGGCGTTGTGCTGTCTCTTTCCTGGGGAGAAGAGCCTCAACTTCCCAAATAAAGTGGTCAAGGTTAACCAAATAGTTCATGGTTACCCGTCAGAAGTAGTAATGGGATCTTCAAAGTGCTTCAGGATCCGAAGTGTCATATTATAACAACGATAAACTTTTTCTCATAGCAAGAGTAGTTGTTTATCAAAATACGAGTTTCTGTATTGCAGGGGGCTGCTCGGTGCTGCACCAGCCTGATGTGGACAGGTCATGTCATCCCCCGTGTAGTGAACCCCACTCATACTGCAGTGAGGTACGTGCGGAGTCATTAGCAGGGGCGAAACCAGTCTCACCTCCTGTCTCTTTTACAGTCCCTTCCAAAACTAACTTGTCTGGAGACCGGCTTTTCGTTTGTTAGATGTCTTCTGGTAGCAGCATGAACTAGTCCAAGTGCACTTGCTTTTATTGTTAGAATAATTTAAGATATAGAACTAAAATCTTGCTCTTTTTAATATCAAGACAAAAATTGCATGGATTCAATTCCCAAACAATTCCTCCGTAAAGCCTTGCCTTCCCGTCGGCTCTACTGTCCTGCTTCCAAAGATCGTGTGTCGGATAAACCTCCTTGTTCTCCTGCAGACAAGATCATGCAGCTGTGAAGAAGGGTACACGGAAGTCATGTCTTCTTATGGGACCCTGGAGCAGTGCACACTCATCCCCGTGGTGGCGATCCCCACCGTGGGGGACAACAAGGGAGATGTGAAAACCAGTCGGGCAGTGCATCCAACCCAGCCGGCCACGAGCCCAGCAGGCTGGGGACGGACTTGGAGTCTACAGCCATTTGGGCCAGGTGATGGGAGTAGCATTCTCTGGTTATACCGTAGCTAGTGCCAAAGGACTGTAGGAAAAAAATACAAAAACCCCAAGCATTTTATAAGAGACATTTCTTAATTTATCTATGCATATTTATTTTGGCACTGCCATATATTTTATGTATTAGTTTACTATTATGAAATAAGCATGCATGCTCACATTTCACAGAAATGAAATTACTTTTCTCTGAGAAAATTTAAGATTGACAGAACTTATTTCCACTCTGGATCTGAATTTGTAAGTATGTCACATTAAGAAAACGCTAATTAGATTTTTTAAAGTACACTACCAGTCAGAACTGAAGCCAATAGGACAATCGGGACAATCCAGGATTGTTTTCCTTTTTCATTTGAACACCGGGGAGCGACAGTGTGAATCTTAAATGAGAGCCCCCGCAACGTAGTTCCACAGTGCAAGATGCATTAGGATTAATAGAATTGAGTTACTGTACTGTTCATTACTGTAAATAGTAAACAACACTATTTTTTTATGAAAGACAGCGAAATAACGTTACTACATCTAATGAAACACTCAGACAGGCTTTACTTAGAATAATAGGTCATTGTCTTTTCACGTTTTAAAAAGGTAACAGGCTTTAAAGATAGTTTGGACTTTTCAGAAATACTGATGTTCGGTAATATTTTTCCAAAAGGGTAATTGGGCAGTTGAACATGATCTAGTTGGCCAGTGACCCCTTAGTGCTCCGCTACAATAAATTCCTATACTGTGAGGAACAGCCAAGTTTTTTGTGGTTAGACAAAAAAAAAGCCTCATCAAATTGACAAAAATTACAAGAGAACATAAAGAAAAAATGCACTATACCGTGTCTTCATGATAAAAAATATTTTTAATTGAAACATCAAAATAAAGTATTCTGCAAGAAACATAAAGCCCAGATCATTCCACTTAATCTCAGATAAGTAAGTGATTCTTCTCTGCGTGACCACGCTCCCTAGTTCTGACCGGATTTGTTCAGGGAGCTGATCAGAGCTGGGCAGACAGTACACACAGCTATGTATGAATCCGGACTCCCCTTCTTTATTAACTCCAGAAAGTTTTCATATCTGTTTTATCTAAAACAAAAAACATGTTTAGATGGCAATGTTCACTGAATGAGTATCTGAATAAACTCTAGGTTGTAGAATACTGTTTAAAGTTCATTCTTTTTCTCATTATTTTATCGTTGCTATTCTCAAATCAGAATGAGCATCTCAGGACAAAATGTTTATGTAGCATTCCACGTATACAGGACTTTAAGTAACATTCAGCTATAAAGCAGTAGGTATTTAGAAAGAATACTTTGATAGCTGAACTCAGAGATTATTTATGACTTCCCAATCCCCTTTTCATTGATAATGTATCTTTAAAGAAGCAGCACCTAACTCATAATAGCAGCTTTGCAATACCCATTAACTGTGTCTAAGCAGTATCATCTGGGGTTCTTACAGGATGGGTCCTATGTGGCTGGTCATTGTTCATAGTTAGAGACCGTCTTACATGTAGCAGACTGATGTAAATGCATGACTAACACCCACTCTTCTAGATGGGAGACTGAAGACCTGGGTGTACGGGGTGGCAGCTGGGGCGTGTGTGCTGCTCATCTTTATTGTCTCCATGATTTATCTAGCGTGGTGAGTGTTTAAGTATTTCAAACTCTAAAGGGAGCTATAGTCACTGTATTTCAGCAGCCTTTCAATGGACCATCGCACAGAATCAGCAAACCGATGTCTCAAATAAAATTCCACATTTATTCAGTGTTAATCTGATATTCAAAATAAACATGGCTTTAGTCTTAGTTGGTCGCAAACTCTTGTATCTGAGCCAGTTTGTTTCCAAAGTCCTTTTTGCTGCCCGTCATCTTCGTAAGGATGTTCTTCTTTGTTATGCAAAAGAGTGTTCTTTTATATAGTTTCTAGTGAATTACAGATTTTTTTCCCATTGAATTGCTACTAGAGGAAGGCATTATGATAATTCCTAATCATATTCAGCTGTCTTTTAAACTATGTATTATTTATAAATTATGTATTATTTATAAAGGTTTCTGGCCAAATGTAAATGATTATACTATATGTTCCTTCTGTTGTTATTCGTTCAGAAATCACATTTGAATTATTTATCCTCTACAGCAGTGGTTCTCAACCTTCCTAATGCCATGACCTTTTAATACAGTTCCTCATGTTCTGGTGACCCCCAACCATAACATTATTTTTGTCGCTACTTCATCACTGTCATTTTGCTACAGTTATGAATCGGACACCCCTGTAAAAGGGTCGTTCGACCCCTCCCCAAAGGGGCCCAGACCCCCAGCTTGAGAACCGCTGCTCTGCAGGATAATAAAATACTTGAAGAGTTTTGGGAAGGTTGAAATTAGGTGATAGAGGTCTAGCAATCTGTTTAGTTTTTTTGTTTTGGTTTGACTTGTTTTTCACTTAAAATAATAAGCTTTGCTATTGAAGCGTTTTTTCCCTCCTAATTTTCTGTTTTGTTTTTTACAGCAAAAGGCCAAAGAAACCCCAAAGAAGACAGAACAACCGACTGAAACCTTTAACCTTGGCCTATGATGGCGATGCAGACATGTGAACTCCTTTTCTCGGCAACAACCAGTGGCCCCTTTCTGACTTTGTAGTAGGCATCCAGAGGCCATGAAGACATTCAGACTGTGGATTCAAATGTGCTTTGAATTCATAGAAGACACAACATAGAGAGGAGTGAACCCTGTATTCTCCTGGGAATATCCAAGACAGGACCACTTGCATATAGACCACGAGAGCTGAGAAGGCTAGAGTTAGCTGAATACATGCTGCATTCTGAGAGTTTGATGATCTCTGAAATCTACCAACTGAAAAATCACCAGTATCTGAAATCTGACAGCGGAATCGGCCATTAGGAGGCTTGATGGGAAGACGCTGTTTGCAGTGTTAACGTCTAGTAACTTTTTAGCATGAAGAGTTTTATACCAAAATCTCCACAATACTATAGTCAAAAATAACAACACGTTTACCCAAATGACTGAAACCTATTATCCTGTCAAAGTATGTACTTGTTAATAAGCAATGCTAATGCGGAATAAGAGATCGATTAGACTGAGCAGAAAATCCACGGAATGAATTCAACATCTTGAAGGTTGATGGTAACTATATTGACCTGCATTTCAGAGGCAAAAACATTTCTAAGACTTTATTGTTGTCTCTCTCCAAAGTATGAGTGCTGGACATGTACTAGTACCTTAGAAGAAGAGTCCTGGAGTTCAGTATTTTCTAGTGGTTATTGATTGTCTGGAAAACTAATTTGATTGTGTTAATAGATTTCTACTTTCCCTGTTTTCAAACTGGTTGCCTGTATCTTTTTTGCTGTGTGGAAGGCACAATTTTGCACTATATTAGTGCAGCATGGTATTGCCAGAGAGACCGCCCCTTCGTGTTGTGGACACATTTGCAAGTTCTTATGTGCAGGGAGTACAGTTCCGCTGTGGTGACAGGATGGGATCGGCCATGACGTCTGCTGCACAGAGCAGACCCCCTCATCAGCACCGCTGAGGTGAAATCAACGGCAGGGGGACAGTGCGCTCTTGAAGCCCCTAACCCATAAACCCAGCAAAAGGTGGATCCCCAGTCGGTTTTTAATTGGACTTTGAAGGCCGTTTATGACTAGATTTTTATATTTATCTTTGTTAAAAAAAAGAGAGAGAAGAGAAGAGAAGAAAAGAAAAAAAAAAGAAGCTGGTGGTGATTTTGAGCAAATGGAGAAAAGCACTGCATCGATGGTTTTTATAACTTTAAAAACATCAAAATCATGTGTTGATTATTCTTTCTTCCTTATTTGATTTCCTAGTTTCAGATCAAATATTTGCAGATGGTCAAAATCCATAATCCTTTGTCTTTCTCACTGGCAAAGTTTGAGGAAGTCTAATATGTCATTTGAAACACTAAAATTTCTAAAAGAGCAAATTAGATATTTTGTCCAGGGATTTACTGAATATTCAGAGCAGGAGTGCGAACATTTAACGTCCAGGGCCATTGCTGTCGAACTTTAGCCAGATCTCTCAACTCTGGCATCAATATCCAAACACAGGCATGCACAATAAACATATAAAAGATTGAGGGACGATGGGTTTCAATAAAACTGTCCCCAAACAGCCAAATTGGGAGTTTAATTTCAAGGATGAAAAACAGTATTAGATTTACTACTTTGTAAATTGTAAATAACAGTATTTTTCACACAGATGTAGCCCAAGGAATGGCGCAGTGGAACAGTACCTAGGTAATTTGGCCAACATTTCATATGAAGAGAAAATTCAAACAATGCCACTAAAACCAGTGCCAATTTGCAGGCGACATTTACTGAAGCAGCGTGGGAGACTTTAGGTTGTCAAGTCTTTTAAAAATTGTGCAACAGGCTATTTTATGTTGAGCATAGCCCATCAGTATTTGTATTACAGGTTATTTTACCTTCATACTGGAGTTTGAGCTCCCCCTAGTGTTCATTCGTGTATTTGCAAAGGGCACAAAAGACATTTTAATTATGTCATTACCCCTAAAATAAAGATTTCTATGTATTTCAATAAGAATTAACTGTGGTAAGCACTAATTTCTTATTCAACCTTTACTGTTTAGGCAATATAAACCATTTCAAAGTGAACAAGTAGCCAGGAAACAGGTAATTTTACTTTAAGGACTTAAGGAAAAATGAAAATAAAATCCATATTACCTGTTCTATCAAAGAGGAAGGCAAAAATATATATTCTACCTAAAACTGTAATTAGAAAAATATGTACTCAGGGGTCTTTCAGAAAATACTCAAGTTGATCTCTTGAAAAATAAATTGCATTTGTCAAAAATGGTTGAGGAAAAAATGTATTGCAGTTAGTTGAAAAGTCAGTTTTATGCTCTATTGTTTAACACCTAACAATTTTTAAATTTGTAATAGAATAGCTACTACTAGCAGTAGAGTTAAGAGATGATTAAATTTCACTATTACGAAAGACACATCAGTATCTTCCTACCTTGATTGTAACAATTCTGTGAACTGATGCCTCAGTCGTCAACACATGTCAGGAAAAGGCACGGTTTTCAGTCATCATTTGAATCCACTTTAAAGCATTACGAACAGGGCTGCTAGCCACAAGGTTTGGAAACCTCTAGCCGCTCTTTGGGAGAAAGATGAGTTTTTCTATGTCTGTAACAGTTACAGTCTTGGAAGCCCACAGGGCCAGTTCGACCCTGTCCTGTAGGGTCACTACGAGTTAGAATGGACTGGAGGGCAGTGGGTTTGGTTTTATGGATATAAAGGAGATCAGATTCGTTGTAACCTAACATTTTAAAATAAAGACATACTAGATGACTTCTTGGTGGATTAAGAAGTGAATCAAATGACTATTTTGGAAAAATGGGAGATTATTGTACTCATGCTTATAAGATGAAAATAGCAGTACTTTTTTGGCATGAGTTAAAAATGAGTGGAAAACTTTACTAAAACTTCATCTAGACCTTATTCTTTCCATTCATACTAAGAATTCAGGAGGGGAATATAGTATTAGCTTGTCTATTTACCCTTTTGTCTTGCCACAATAGTCGATGACCCCCAAATATTTAGAAATGTAGTTCTGTAAGTATGAAAATCAATTTGGTTTTAAAAGAATATATTGATAGTACTATACTATTTTGTTGGATTGTTTCCATATGAGACATAGAAAACTAGCATTACCGGCCTCCCTTGGAAATTTATGTGTTCATTCATTAATACCTAATCTTGTATATTGACCATAATCCTACATTTAAAGCCTCTTGTAAAGATACAGCAGTACACCATAAGCTAATTTCAAAAGGAGTGCATAAGCGCATGTATTTAAATACTTACAACAAAGCACAATTTACTTATAGCAAGGTGAATATTTATTGAGTTGTGACATGCAAGACATTCTGCTAGGCAATATAAAAAATTAATAACGTCTTTTATATCCATATATATACGTAGGATATTCAGCAGAAGAAAAGTGTGCTCAGTGAGTGAAAGTAGCACTGAAATACGTTGCCCCGTTGTACTTGTTTTTGAAATGGCTGGCACTGTTTTCCGTGTCTTGTGTGTGAGTCGCAAACCAGGCTGCCAGGTGTTGGACTTCCCATGAATCCACCCTCAGGCCTTTATTGAACTTCTTTATGTTTGAGAATAAAGTCCCTTATTTTAAAATTCTTACAGGAAACATTTAGTACTTATCACAGTTTTATGTACTCTTCCAAACCCCTCTATCCTTAGTCTCATGATGGTTTTCTCTACCTGGTCTCTTCTCAGAGAATTGGAAATAGCTAATCCTGTCTACTCACCCCAGAACATGCCCACGTTTTAAATTAGAAGGAGGTGAGAGAGCCTAAATTTCCTTCCTGTTAGAATCAAATATCACTTAGAGCGAATATTTTTATTTAACCAAAACCAGCGGCACTAGATAAGTGTGAGAGGAAAGCTGTGGAAGACTTACGTTTTAAAAGTACCTGTTTAAACAAATGCAGTTCTTGTCCGCCTAGTCCTCTTACTTGCTTCTTGCCTTTTTGATCTGTCTGATAAGACAATATGGAAAGCCTGCCATTTCCAATACTATCCATAAAAGAAAATCCATTCTGAGGCAAAAGCCTCAGAATAGATTTGTAAGAATTCAGTCACAATTAATCTGGAATTCCATTATATGTAAATACCAAAAGTAAAGTCAGCTTTTGTTATCAAATGCAAATGTGTTTCTTGATACCTGTCCCCTCCAAGACGGGGCCTTGAAAGGGAGCCGCCCATGAATCAGGCTCTGGGAACCTTGTCCAAGCCTGGCCTCTCTGGGATCACTAGAACAGCCACCTGTCCTGGTAAGAAGTCTCACCTGGTCCAGCCCTAGACAAGAATGGCTGTAAGGCAGGCGACCAGGTACCTGTCAATGGAGTAGATGAGTCTAGCAACGTTGTTCCTTATAAAAAGACTGTTGTCTCACATGATAGGATAATTTTATCTAGCAGGAACACTGAAAAATTGTGGGTTTATATTATTAAATGAGAAAGACAAATGCTAATGAGTTAATTTTTTGTCTATTTTTTTTCATCTTCCTGCACTGCCAACAGTATGCGGAGCTCTAGTTTGTCGATGTCATGTTTTCAGTGGTCAAAAATATCTAGACTCGTTATAATACAGTTGGATGTTAGATTTTTGTTTCTTCATTGTGTTATACAGGGTTTTTCTTTTCTTTTTCTTTGTTATCTTAAACCTCATTTCCAAATTACTTGCTTTACACTGTCAATTTGCCCACCTTTTCCAGGAATCTATTTATTTGTTTGTGTTTATTCATAGGCTATAAACATTCAAATTCCTTTCTGGTACTTTTTCCTGCCTATTTTGAGCACAGAGATTTGAAAAGACCAGTATCTCTCATTGTAAAATGTAAACTTAAAAAATGCACAATCTCCCTTTCTCTAAGTTATATTCCCTAAATGTATTTACTTTGGTTAATTTAATTCCTTGGTTATTTATTTTGTTCAATAAGGAGGCAGCTGTCTAAGATTTTGGTTTAATATTATTTTGTAAATTGTGTAATGCAGTTTTATTTTTAATTATGTACATTTCTTTTTAATGCACAAAATGTCTGTGTACAATTAGCTACAGATTTACCGATGATGTCAATAAGCTTAATTCAGTTAATACAGATGGCATGTGAAGATGTGCTATGCCTTTTTACATTTTCATATGGATTATTTGTAAATAACTATATTGCTGACAACATAAACCCAAAAGCTGTTTTCATTCTAATGTATATCTGTGTGTTAATTTGCACCATTTGCTGCTCAAATGTGGGTTAAAGACAATGTCAGTGAATATCTAAACCTATTTAACCCCCTCTTCTTATCCTCTCCTGCACTGTTCAAACTCCAATTTAGACAGTTTCACAACTTTAAACTTTTACCTTAAAAGTCACCTAAAGCCACCAGATTAATTGTCATGGACAAAGGACCTCTTGATTTCCAATTTGGTTAAAAGAGTTACATGTTTTTCTGTTTGGGGCTATGAAATTCAGGATTGATGATCCTCTGGTGAGAGCAAGTAGAATGAGGTTCCTGCAGGGGCCCGTGGGGGAGGGTCGTAAAGGGGAGCATTCAAGAAGGAAGAGAATCACTTGAAACTGATTGTGGTAACAGTTGTTCACTACTGCTCGATGTGATTGAATGTGGAATGGTATGATGTCTTATTAGCGCCAAAAAAAATGATTTTTAAAAGAGGGCACTGAGAGGATGGAAAGGATTCCAGAATGAGGTATAGCGCGTCTCAGCCCTGCAGGCAGAAGACAAGAACCCTGTCAGCCTGTGGCTACCAGTAAGGGATCAAGCAAACAAAACCTGGAAGGAGCTCACAAATCACAAATAACTAGGGAAGTCATCCTTAGGGCAATCTGAAGTTAAAACACTTTTTTCTGAAGTATCTGCTTGCTAACATATAATTAAGCAAGGAGGTCTTCAAGTTGTTAGCATGTGAACCACGCAAAAGGTACAACTAGTCCCCAGTGCTTGGTGAGGTTGGAGCAAAATAATTGAGAGAGAGCGATGGGAATGGTTCTTGGCAGTCTCCTAATGGTTAAGCAAAGGAGCCCTGTGGTGTAAAGGGTTACCCATTGAGCTATAAGAAGCAAGGTCAGCAGTTCAAAACCAGCAGCTGCTCTCGGGGAGAAAGATGAGACTTTCTACTGCCA